CAGTGACTGAGCTCAGCACCTCACAGACATACTTAGTAACTGCCTCCAAGTCACATGGCTAGAGAGCCAAAGACCAAAGACGTCAGCAGAAACCTGCCCGACTCCACCACTCACGAACTGGCCGACCTGACCCAGTATGGCTGCATCATCAACAACCTAATTAAATTAATAACTGAAATGGTTCTGCAGTGAGATCTGTCTCAAGTCCAGTGACATTCAGAGCACACTGACTACAGCTCGACTGAGAGATCTGACCACGTACGAAAGCATTACTCTAAGAAGGGCCCAAGCCACTGATGGAGAAGCCACGGTGAAACCCAGCACTGACATCCAGGCCGATGGCAACGAGGCACAGCTAGTAACCGGGCAGCATCACGTCCAGATCCTGACCTCACGGTTGCTGTCAGGCGCGTGGAGTCAGCTCTGACTCTGCGCGCCCTTGTGTGTAACAGAACGCAACACTGCCGGTCCTGCCCCAGCCTCACGGTCCATCCAGGGGCTGGCTGCTCCATGGCAGGTGTGCGGAAGCCAAAGCTGGGCTTTCCTTGCAAAAATGGGAAAATGCAAAAGCTGGCCTGGGTCAGAAACGGGTCTGATGAGCGGGGCTTTTGGTGCCGAGGTGGTGAGCGGATGCAGGTCCCTGGGGCAGGAAGATGAGCTCCAGGGACAGAGACCCCACGAGACCTCAGCACCGCCGCTGTGTGTGTAATCCGGTGACGTCAGCTCCAACTACCTCACCTGTAACACGGGATTGTTGTTTGTTATTATTATGTGCCGTCAAGTTGGCCCCGACTCATAGCGACCCCTTCTTGGGTTTCCGAGGCAGTATCACTACGGAAGTAGATTGCCCAAACTTCCTTCCGAGGAGTGGCTGGTGGGTTTCAACTGCCAGCCTTCTGGAAATCAAATGCCTTAGGCACTACACTACCAGAGCTCCTAACACGAGATTAGTAAGAGGCATTCCATAGTGCTGCTTTGAAATTGAATAGCACATTTATACAACGCCTAGCAGAGAGCTCTGACGACTAGGAGATGCAGGCAGTGCAGGGTTGGAGTCTCCCCTGCCACGCAGGAGACCTGGGTTCAATCCCGGGCCGTGCACCTCACGCACGGCCCTCACCCGTCTGTCATGGAGGCCAGGGTGCCACTCTGATGCTGAACCGGTTTCAGCAGAGCCTCCAGACTGAGA